GGTGAATACTCGAGCAATGAAATGAGCCAGTGAGATGGTTTTGGGAAAGATGGAGAGAGGTCAGTAGGTATCACAGTTGCGCAAGAGAGAGAAGTGGACGACAATGAAGAGCATAAACTATCTCAACATGGCTGATGATGACAGAATACCATAGCATGAACATCAAAAACTACAAGAAAATATAAACTCGTCTTTTCCATTACCTTTCCTCCAGCCAATGATGACTTCAACCTCTTCCTTCCACCTCTTCCTCCCCAGCTCTTCAACTCCCCCCAAGACACCACCCCCCATTTCAACCCCCCCCCCTCGGGAGAACCCGGAAAGCCCTCTCCATGGATCACTCACGCGTTTACTCCAACCAGCCTCGTATGCATCGTATAGTCGCATCTGCAGCGCATCCTGCTGGAACCTTATTATGAGCCTGTAGTTTGGTGCGGGGTGTGTACTAGTACGTAGGACGAGGACGAGGATTCTAATATATCCGGCTGGACCGTTACGTAGCATGTAGTGGTCAGTGAGAACGGAGGTTGAGAACAGTGGTGAGAGGCGCATACAACTGTATGTATGGATAGGGTGATTGCGGGTACGGTACCATGGTAGGTATTTGTGGGAGGTTCCGGAGGATTTTGGGTTATTCCGGTTGCGAATGGAGGGATGTTTCACATGTTAGAGCTTGGAGGATGTGAATTTGGTGAGTGTTGTGAAGGTGAGACAAAGTGGGAGAGTGATGTAGTATGATAGGTCTTTGCTCCTCCAGTTACAAATAAAAGATGTGGTCAACCAACTTCTGGTGTTTTTAAACGCTTATCTAACTGGACTTGGGCATGCAACTCTTGATCATGGAGAAATCCAGTATATCACTTTTCAGTCAAATTATTACGATGAATGGCTCCCACATGCCGATACTTCCTCATCATCCACACAAAGCCCATCATCTACACAAAGCCCATCATCGATCGCTTGACTCCGAGCCTCAGAGCCTGATTTCGTAGAGAAGCACAACTAATATAGTTACAATTTACTCAAACAAGCTCGATTCCCCATTCACGCCACCTCGGAACGTTTATATTGCAAAACCACAGGGATCAAGATCACCATGTCGGCCTGCAACCAGGGACTGGCCGTTTTATTCTCTACACGCGAGATGCGGTGCAGTCGCTTCGGCTTGTGGTCTGAAATGCCCAGCTAACTCAAAACAGGACGGGGGTCACAGTAAGCTCGGTATCAGATGCGTCGTCATGGTGTGGGCGTGTTCAAAGAGGCCGAGAGTGACCCCCGTTTTCTCTTTCCCCGCATTTGCTGCCCACGGACGCCGGTTGTGGGTGGGCGTGGATCGCAGGGTGGGTGTTACGTTCGATCTGCAGGAAGGGGAGATGATGCTGTGGTTCGTGCTGGCGAGAGGGTCATGGTTTACGCCAAAACATTGAATCTTATCGCCATCTCTCAACATTGCCACCAGAAGATGGGGATTGTGGGGTCGTGCTGATGCCTGGTTCGCCACGGGTTGCTCCACCAAGGGAGTGGTTCGTGGTTTCTTATCTCGCAGCTTGACAGAAAACATTTAATTTTTTTCACAACTTCTGAGGGACTGTGGAGTAGCATGTTCTATGGCGAAGCCAAGATGCTGTAGACGGTCGTGAATGCTATCAGTAGAATCAGACCAGATCAGACGAAAATGAGGTCTTGAGAAGAATGACGATTGTTCTGAGGCTATTCGGCACACTACTGTAGGATTGGTACGAAACGACGACGAAGGTGAACTGAGCGCGCGGATGTCGTGCTTCCCATGCAGCTTCCGGAGCTTCCACGGCGACCATCGAAGAAGACGTTAGCTTCAGCTCATGGTGCCCGCGTCCCTCGCTGCGTGCAACACGGTGAACGTGAAAGTCGAACATCGCTCGTCATGCAACATGATCGCCGCTGGAGCCCCAGGCACCGTGGTGGTGGTGGGACGGCAGTCAGATACATGCAAACAACTGTGCGATTTGTCCATGCATCTGTGTATTCGGCGTTGAAAAGTGGAGGCGAGGGGGAGGAGGTATGGAGGGAAACGGAAGTGGCTCCAGCTTCGGCGACGCGATGGGAGGTGGTGAACAGGCAACACAACCTTCTGCTCTCAACGCCGATGTATGGACACGGGCAGTTTCACCGTCATCAGCGTCGCCGTTGTCGGCATCAGACTACCAAAGTCCCTCACCTCAACCCAGGGCTCGCACCATCCGGGGTGCATGTTTGGGAGAGGCGCGCGCGGGAGTTCCCTCGGCGGCGTCGGCGGTTGGCTGGTGGACGCGTGGGGAGCACTCTCTGGGGGAGGAGGAGTATGATACAGTAGGGTGCCCGAGTGTTGCATGGTGATGGTGGGGCAGATGGCAGGTTCTCCGGGTTGCTCCGAAAAGGCTGACGCAAAAAAACCACATCCCACTTTGCACCTCAGTTGATAGCGAGAATCACAGCCCTGCACACGCCCGAGTATCTGTCCAAGTACCCACAGGCCACACTCATCCTCTCTCTGCTTAAGAATCCCCTCAGCCCCCCCCCAATTCAAAGTGTTCATCATCTCCCCGCTCTGCACGCAACCGTCGCACCGTATCTTCCCCCCAAAATCACTCCCCGCTCTGTCACCGGCACCACACTAGACACGCTTCCGACCCGGTTATAAATCCGCTCATCCCGCTCCAACGCTCGCCTCTCCCCCATCAACGACGACACGCCGTACGTTTCCACGACCACACAAGTAGCCTGACAACTTGCACTCTCCTACATTCTTCAAAATGACTGCCGCTTCCTCCGCCCTTCGCGCTGCTGCTCATGCCCGCACCCCAATGATTCAGTTCATTGGCAAGCGCGCCATTCCCAGTGAGTTCCTTTTCCCCGGTCTCCCGCTCGATGCCATAATGATCATCTCGAGCCTTCTCGATGAATACACCGCTAACCCAATCTCCACAGCCAACATCGACCACTCCCCCAAGCCTCACCCTCAGTCACCGACTGGCAGCCTTCCATCATCATTCGCCGAATACCGCAAGGCCGCTCAATCCCACGGTCCTCTGGGCGTCAAGTCTGCTGGCTCTTCGCGGCCATCAATTGAGGTTCAGGCCGGCGAGTACTTTGATCGCAACGAGCTTCCGAAGCGGTTCTGGCGAATGACTCTCTCCAAGGAGGACATGGAGCTCATCGAGAGCGGCGGTGCCGCTGCCTGGGCTTAAGTGACCCATACGCAGCGGCGGCGGCAGAAGTGGTGGAAGGAGGAAGTTGCAGTGAGATGATGAGACGAGAACTACCTACACGACGATGTTGACTTCCAATGGTGTTACAAGGGATGGTAACATCGGGGTTTCACGAACGGCGACTACGACGATAATGGTACTCTCCGCGGGATTGTGCATATTTCTTCCGGCATCCATCGCTGCCTGCTGTCTCCAGCGTTTCTCGTCTTAGAGGGACCACAAGTGGCAGGCACGTGTTGTCACCAAAATTCAGCATCATTACTGATACTATGAGCGATCAAAAATTGGCGGCCATCCGACAGTGTCCTGGGCCGCCACATGGACTGGAGTTCCTGCTTTTTCGGGTTTCCCTTATCTGGTCTGGGGATGTGCCACGAGTCGAGCGCACGCGGGCCACAAAATCCCTCTATCTTCGGCGTTTGTGTTTTCTGGGCTGGTTCGGTCGGTTTTCTTATGGGGATCTAGGCTATCTCTATTGTTTACAATGTGTGCGGTCTGGTTACTTTTGTACATATGTTTTTTCTTGGGTCTCTCTGGTCTCGTTGGATCTGTGTTGGATTTCTCTGCACATTTTGTTGTTCAACTTTGGCTGGCCGGTGTGGCGTTGCGTTGGCACAATGGGGTGTTGGTGTGCTTTGTGCTTCTTCTACCTTGTTCTTGTCTCTAAATCCAATGCGGACGATTGTGTGAATAGAAACACGATAGAATGAGGAATATCCGAGTAGTACAATCAAATGAACGGTATTATACACACTCAACCTACATATCTGCATTCTTATCAGTTGTAACATTCCACGACAGAAACCCCCTTCCCACAAGCAGTATTATCCACGCTCCAGAGGTCCAGTCAAATACACTCCTATACACCAGTCTATCAGAGGTTACTCGAAACTTTAAAAATCAGTTCCAGTCGGAGAAGATTCAGGGCGTGGTCCAACGGCAACTCTCCCCCACCCTCGTTACACCGTCTTCCAAGCGGAACTATGGAATAAATACCAACCTCCGTATACACTGACGACGTTGAGGAAAAGCCACTGGCAGCTCAGCCCAGGCATGATGCGTGTGAACTTGCGTTGGATGAAGACGGTGGGTTCGTTGATTGATGCTGTGCATATCCAGATTTACTAGGTAGCATCGCTAGACGAGCAGCTCCCAGCGACATGCAACATCAGACCAAGGTTACAAGGCTGCGGAAGTTGCCGCCAGAGTTGTTGTTTTCAACAGCATTTAGAAATGCAAGACGATGAGCACAGGGTGCAACTCTCGTAGAGTACCAGAATTAACGCCATGCTTATGACTTGATTTTACTTGATTGACTGATTGTAATCATTTAAGCGCATGAATATACAGACATCCCTTTCCGCAGCAACATACTGCATCTATCCAGACTCTGCTTCATCCATTTTCAACCATTAACTCGTCGGCTTTGCTGCCTTTGCAGTGGCCGCCTTTTGAGCTGTACGCTTGCGTACTTGGACTCTCCTATACCCTCTTTTACTCTTTTCCTGCGTTATGCCTATGTTGTCTCCTGCTGTTTTGTACGCTCTCTGTCTCCGCCTCTGCCTCCTCTACCCCGTTCTCTTCCCCCCATCCCTATTCCTCATGCTCCCGCTCATATCTGGCTCGGTCCTCTTCCTCTGTTTTTGGTCTCTCTACAAGCGTTTCCTCGATAAATTTCAGGATAGCCGGGGTGGCTCTGGATTATGCTTATGACTTGTAGAAAGTTTTCAATATTGAGGTAACTAAAAAAAGGTGTGAAGACATAATCACTACGGTTCCGTGGCCCAATGGCAAGGCGCTTGACTACGAATCAAGAGATTGTGGGTTCGATCCCCACCGGAACCTAAAGAACTGTTCCTTTTTTGGTTTCGTTGGTTTTGGCTCCAACCCATTCTGCTTTTTTCCTATCACCAATTTCCCGGGCTGTTGCACAATCTGCACGCTACACATCTAGTTAACCTTCACAAAACAGAATCCATGAAGAGTCATTCTCGATTCAATGTTTTGCGTACCGTCCCGGCAACGACTGTTCATAATAACAAGAAAAACACAGGAAAACAATGATGAAACATGAGGCATCCCAGCAAAAACACGTTAACACCTGCCATGAAAAAAAAAAAAACGAGAACATCCGTCCAAATAACCATCCGTACACAAGCCGATAGAAGGAAGAATACAAGCATACGCATATTACAGCATGAGGAAAACGTAGAAAACAACATGAAGAAAAACGAATAGAATGTGCAGTAACCATCATCATCAAGCAAAGGCATGTTGAAGACCAACATGCAGTGCATCATCGACTATCAAAAACCGCGAGCAACAACTCGAGAGTTAGTCACAGGCAATTTTTCATGGCCGGGGCCCAAGGGGCTCGAACAATCCCCCCTAAGGTTGTTCAGCGCCCAGAACCTTTTCCACTTCCTTCGCCAGAACTTCCGGTTGTGTCTGCAGGTCTGGGTTTTCTTGGAGCAACCTATCGATAGCCCTGACTTGCAGTTCTCCGAGCCCCGGTACCATCTGGATCAGTTCTTTTGTCATCGGATGCACTGGTATGTAGGGACCCTGTTCTTGCAGAGGTGAATGATGGTGAGGAGGGGTAGGTTGGCCAAACTGTGGGGGTGGGGGTGGCTGGGGGGGCTGGTGTGGATACATTCCGTGCTGTTGTTGGGGAGCAAGTTGGTTGGCGGGATTGACGAAGGGAGTGGTGATGTAGGGGCTCGGCAAGGGTTGTATTGGAGTGCCATATTGGAGTCCCATGTTCGATTGATGATGTTGTTGATGTAGTGGCGTTTGCTGAAGCACTTGTTGCTGCTGTTGCGGATACACTGGTTGTGCGCCATCGACAAGTGCGCGTATTACCACGAAAACCAAGACGAGGCATTTTCCGCGGGGGAGATCCGATTCTTTCGGTGGTGGATCAAGCACCGAGAACCAATCCGGGGGGCCATTCTTTTCTATGTCACAAGGGACAATGTAGAGGTCTTTGATGCATTGAAGCTGGTGTTTCCCTACGACCGCATACCGTTCTTTCTTCGCAAAGTAGTCAAAGAGCTTATCAAATCCTGCCGTTTCGACGGGAGCGGAGGTCGCCGGGTGAAGGAGAGCGGTAATAAGTGAAGAAGACCGACTGAACTTCTGTCCGCACAGGTACTCTGTTGCGCGGTCAAGTTTGATACGGCCATCTATGCTGAGATTGGTGTCGAGGAGGTCGGGCCAGGTTTTATTACCAACGCCACCTGGGCCTCCAAGAAGTGTAGCTACCGCGTTAAGAGATGCAATGGCGCTCATAGTCACTGTTCCTCGCCAATGAGGAGTATTAGGCGGAGGTGAAAAACGGGCTTCAGGGGTAAAGGCTTTTGGCGAATATGGTGGTGTTGAGGCCGGTGCGATGTCATCGTCCTTAAGCAACGCATCAATATCCCGATCGATCTTGGTACCTGCTGGTGTAGTAGGCTGCAACGGCGGGGGTCGAAATTGTGACGCCGGTCGACTGCTGGCGTCTGGAGTTTCCACGTGTGACCAGACATTTTCAATACTAAACTTGCGGGCTGGATCTGACGGCGTCGGTTCTGCAGAGGTTGGCTGTGCATCGGCGGAAGCTGTAGGCGGACGAGAAATTGAGCGAGGGGTATGGCTTGCTGAAACGCCAGGGGGTGACATTGAGGTGTCTCCTTGGGGTTTGGGTGATTCTGGTGGAGCTGAAGTAGCAGGGAAGGGCGGTGTTTCATCCATTTGTTCAGTGTTCCGCCTCACGATGGGACCTGTATCAAGAAGGGTGTCTTCTGTGGTGGTATTGAAATCGTCCACAATTTCTTCGCCCTTATGCGTTCGACGAATCCGAGGGCCGGTTTCAGTGTTAATCAGAGTATGTTGCTTCTCCGACTCCAACAGAGCCTTTTGAGTGAATTCTTTGAGTTCTTTTGACTGCATTTCCTCCGTTGTCATGTGAGATAGTCGTTCGCATGACAAACGCCCAGAAATAACCTCCTTCGTCAGTTCTGGATTCTGTTTGAGATTGACTCCAATAGACCTCAATCGCTTGTTATATTCTGGAACAAGGCGCCCTCCATCAAAATGGTTCATGTAAACATGATGCTCAATCTCCAAAGCTTTGTTTTGTACAATGACCTCAAGATTGTCGCCTTCTGACAATTCGAGTTGATTATTCTGTCCCAGTTTCTTGGTACTATCCGTCATGAAACTGGTGAGGAAAGCAACTGTTTTTTGTCGAGTCGAGTTTCGAAGTTCTTCAACAGATCTAACAAGTTCCGTCTGTGGCGATGTGTCGTCATGAGAAATGGAAGCTTTGTGACCCGCCCCCTGGGCAGTTGACTGCCGCCGAGAATGATCAGCCCTGGGTGTTTTCGGATGAACGCTCGATTCCCTAGATGTCGGGCTAGCAACCGTATGAGCCGAGGTGCGACGCATTTTTCTCTCAGGTTCCTGGCTAAAATTTAGCTTTGTACTATAACAAGAGTTGATGTAGCGACTCACTGCTCCTTCCTCTTTGTACTCCATATCAGAATCTTCACTAGCTTTTCGTTTGGCAGATTTGGGTGTTCGACTCTCTCTTTTCCCTCTGGGATGCGGGGCCGGGCTCTGGGTCTCGATATGAGTTAATGATTTCTTCTTCAGGTCAACGCCCTTTATTTTCTCCTGGACATCTTCGATAGTGTCCTGACGGAGAGTCGGTTCTGCTGGTACGGTGGCCTCGCGGTCTTTCGACGGTACCTCAGTGTTACTGTCCATGGGCTCTGGCTGGGGCGGTTGTTGTGTGGCCGAAGCTCCCCCATTCGCAATTCTCGCTGCTTCCTCCTCCTTTTGCCTCTTCTCCTCCTCGAGATGCTGTTTTCTCTCCGCTGCAGCTCTAAGCCTAGCTGCGCCCTTTGGATTCTCCCATGGCCTTTCACCCTTGGCCATCTGTTCCAACAACCAAACATGCTGATCAGGCCGACAGACCTCACAAAAGTATTGCTTGGGGATCTTCTTCTTTGTGATAGCCATGCACTGGGTGTGCTGCCAGGCGTCGCAGCCCTCGCACTGAATCATCATTCGGTCGTCGTCTTCATCTTCCTCTTTCGCGCCGCACACACAGCGGATGATATCGTCGGAAGGTCCCTTTTCGGCATCAGCGCCCGCCGCTCCCGGTGATTGAGATTTCGAGGTAGTAGCAGGCGCCGCGGGTGTCGTCTTACGTCGTTTAGCGGAGCTCGGGGGAGCAGGAGACGGTGAAAGCTCGTTAAGCCTCGGATTCACACCTTTCGTCGAGCGGGCGCTGCGTCGGGGGTCTGATGGGGTTAGTGAGCTTGACGATGGTTGGACGAATGCGCAGCGATGGTGGGCTGCGACGATGAGGGGCTTCTTACCGGCCATCGTGGGTATGGTTTTGGGGTGGAGAGAACAGCAGGGTGCTTTTGGAGCAAGGTGATTTGGAAGAAAATGCGTGTCTGTCTACGAGCAAAACGCGAATGGCACTTGGGCACACAGAGATAGGATACGCAGGCAGCACGAAGAAAGCTCAGCTGGGAACCGGAATGGCAGAGCACACGCGTGCTAGCTTGAATTGGTTGCCTTCCTGGTCAGATCCAAATTCCCTCTCTTCTTGCCCCTCACTCTCAAATGGCGCCTTGGGGCGCGTTGTGATGCAGCGTGTAGGTCCTCCTCTCAAGCGATCCCCCTCTTCCTCGTGTACAGGTTGCTCCGGCCGAAGCAGAGCGAGCAGTATGGGCGCCGCTGGAGCTGGAAGTCGAAAACGGGTGGAGGCGGGCTGTGTAGCTGGGCAGCGCGCAACCGGTAGAGCAGTGGTGAGTCGGTGGTGATGTGGCCTGGGTGGAGAGCGAGGGAAGTGAGCCGGACTGATGATGAAATCTGTGGGTCTTGGCGGCATGCACGGCCACAGTGACTAAGCGAAGGTGTGGCGCTTACTCATGGTCTTGTCATCTGCCACCTGTGTGTTCACGGGCACACGAGTCCTTCATCTAGCATCTTCACTGCCACATGTTGTCTGCATCGTCACATTCAATTGAATACTCGTTATGGCCTCTGTATTGTTCCCTCCGAGAATCATCGAAAGAGTCATACAACTGTGCCCCGCAAATTAAGCGAGTATTCGCTGCTTTCACTACACCAATCAGATGAACTCATCTACATTCAGATGGCGCCGCATATCAACACATGTATGCTTTTTCTAATCATACTCATCGATAAGGGACATCTCACAAGGAGATGCCGAACTCCCGGATAGAATATCATTGACACCAATTTACCTCGGCCCTCGTCTTATAGCGCGTGCTTGGCCGTCCCCACACGCGTAGATACTCCATCCAGTACCTTACCATCTCCAAATGTCGCAATCCAATTCCTTATCCTCAACCAGACGCTCCCTCTGTCGCAGTCATCTCAAACCCTGGGCACGTAGACGGCATCAATACCCTGCATCCCGCCTCCTCCACATCCCGACATGAGCTCCAACGACCCTCCCGCAGTTCCCGCACACATCTCCATTTACGATGGAGAGAAAGTCCAAGATGCTATCAACCGGGGAATGACCCTCAGGCCGTGTCCGAAGGCGATCGAGCACTTCCGCGAAACTCCCCTCTGCGCGCGATACCTCAACAATGAAACCTACACCATCTCACATCCCGCCTCGTCGTTTCCCCGCAACAGCGGCGAAGACACCTTTTTCTCGATGACCCTCAACTCTTCCACCACCATCCGCCATTGTGTGTTGGTCTTTGACAAGTCCACTATGGATGAAATCATCTTTATGGCTTCGGTGGGAAGGGATTGTAACGGGCATCCGGATTTTGCACACGGCGGGTTTCTGTGCACCTTGATGGATG